TTATGAATACAAAATCTATATATATAAAAGAAAGTCAGGTTATTTACAGAATTTATAATTCAAGAACGGGTGGACCGATTTTGATGATCTCTGATTTGTTGATTCGTCTCCGTACAAGAATAAAAATAACTCTAATCTTGGTAAAAATACAGATAATTATCTAGATAAGTAAAAATGTTATCTTAGATAAGTAATTAGATAACTTAGCGTTATTTATCTAGATAAGATAAAAGATAAAAAAAAATCTATCTAGATAAATTTATCTAGATAAGTCCCAACACTGGTCGCAAAATGTATTAATTCGAATATTGACCGGTGCAATAGATGTATACCTTTTTTCCATCCCATAATTTTTCTTTCTTTATTTGCGATTTTCGGCGCAATTGATATAAAACCATTTATACTTGTTGTATTTGATATGATTTAAAATAAAATAAAGTTTAATGAGAGTCGAGATTTCGAAATAAGATTTTGTTTAGCTGGACCTTGTTTTAGATGAGGAAAAAAATTATTTTCTAAAACTGATTGAAATTAATCAATTAGCTACCGTCAAAAATTTTGTTTTGAAATAATGTTTTATATTTCATCTTTTACTGTGCAAAATTTGTCTGAATGCGTATCTAATTTCAATTTGATTACAAAACATATTAACATATAGTGTCACAGAGCTTACATTTTGAAGGGCACTATTAGTATCAATACTACACAAATTCATAGGGACTACGTCCCCATCTATTAATTTACATGCAGATAAAATGTGTCACAATTAACTAATATTGATTCAATTCAAATTTTAGTAAGATTTTAATAAAGATAAAAAAATTTAAAAACTCGATTTTGCTAACCATATTTCGATTTTGGATGTTCCATAGTATATCGAAAGCCATATACAACACTTAATAACAATTTAATAATTATTTAGTGTATTGAGATTATAGACATAGATGATTAGATTTCATTTCAATCACAAACACAAAATTTTGAGATTTATTATTTTTTATCTGGGAGGACTATAAAAATATTTAGGTGGCTAAACCCCCTAAGCCCCCTCCTATTTACGTGTACACAGAGAGTACAATTATGTAGACAAATTTACTCATAAACATATTCATTCAAAATAAATATAAATAACAATTAAATTTATTTTATTTTCTCTGCGAATAGAAAAAACAATGTCGTATTAAAAACCAATAGTTTGAGACTTGTATTAATTGAAATTATATAAACCTAATTTCTGAACACTAGATGTACTCATACAAGTACTTTTTTTATTATTTGTATTGTATAACGTTCAAACACTACCTTTTTCTCTCCTCAGATGTTTCAATTTTAAATTTCTTTTATCTTTTAAAGGTTAGTTATTGTATCTCGCTTTTATTTTTTCATTTTATATTCCTAGCCCAACGAAAAAGCTATTTTTTACAATGGTTTATCGTATACATAAAGACATATACATGTATACACTTATTTTCGGTAAACACTTTTTAGTGTGCAGTTAATGTGTTCCGAAAATCCCATGTAGTACATGTAATCAATTTAAAGTTTTACATCTAGATTATACTCTGATTTAAAAAAAATTGCGAAATTTCCATTATTCTGTAAATGGAAATCGCTAAAAATAATTGTCGTAAAATCATCCTTTTTTTTTATGTCCCTACTCAGTTTTTAGTGTATTTTGTATGTGCACCAAAAGTTGCCCGTAACGTATGTAATCCATCAACTATACACCAGTATCAAGTCTTTGATAAATGATGGATTTAATCATAATATTTCGCGTTACGTACTATACGGTCGAATCGATGTGTAATATGCTCGTTTCATATGTTATATATTTTAAAGTGTAATTGTTATAAATTTCATTAAGTTTCATTTCGAACTCGTTTATTGTGTAAATAAATCCATTTAAGTGAACGGGAATGAATTTTCAATAAATATACACTTTAAGAGCTTTTTAATGTACACATTATTACCAATATGAGTGTTCAATATATAGGTAGTGATATGATATGTTTGATGTATGCAATAATGCGTGTTTTGCCAGTCATGCAAATTGTATACAAATATACGTGTATTTTATAAAAGTATTAAAACGGTATTATATGTCTTTCGAATAGCGCAAAACTGATAATATTCATCAAAACACATAATTTTGTTTTTCATCGCGTAGTGCATTAATAATAATAATTCAATAATTTTTATTTTCTCTACGATGCTTCTGCATATCTGTACACAAACAAATATATTCATATTCATTTCAATAAAATATAATGCATAATTTATGTATAATGTATATATATAAAAAAATGATTTAATTGAAAAGTATATTATGATTTCAGGAACGATTAATATTCGACTGTATGATAACTAATTTTTTATTCGATGAAAAAATATTACGACATGTTTCTATCCTTATTTTACATTTTTTTTTTTTTTTTAAATATTTTTGAATCAGAAGTGTATCATATTTTATCTGGTTCCTTATCCCCACACACGTAGATTTTGACATTTGAGCGTTTTATTTCTGAATTTTATTATTATTCACCTTTTTCACTTATTCAACCTCATGGAATGCTGTATATATATATATTTATGGGCATTATGTTTTGTCCCGTAAAAATACGATTAATGTTTGAACATCATCCATATAATACATATACTTATATTCTTTCCTATTGATGTGATTATCATAATAATTGTCATTTTAAATATTTTTTTCAACACGTCAGATTTATTATTATTAATAATAATAATAAAATTATAGGTTGTTCTGCAAACCATAATTCATTTTATCGTACTTCAATCGAAGACTAACGTCTATGTGGTAAGCATGAAGCATAAAATAAATTATGCGGATAAAATCTTAATTGACATTTTGAATTTTTTTTTTTTTAATAATTAAATAAAACAAAATACCATTTTCTCTGTTTATGAATACTTTTATTACTATAAGGTTTGAGGGACCAGAATAAAAAATATAACAATATCCATTATTTATTTATAGAAACAATATACATTTGTGAGGTAATAAACTAAAAAATCTTTAAAACTTGTCCTAAAATATCAAAATAATAGTAAATAAACATAAAAAGCATTACATTTTTAATTTTTATACAATGAAAATTATAATAACTTGGAAAAAGATGAAAACAAGTTTGATTAAAAATATTTGTAGGTTACTTAATAGTCATTATTATTTTTTAAAATTACCAAAACTAATTTATAAGTTTAAACAATTTATTTATTAACTAGTTCCACTTTAAAAATGGTTGTCCGATTATGTATTCATTATTCAGCATATAATTTTAATTATATTTTTATACACGCATTACACCTATACAGATATTAAGTAATTTAAACAGCTAATTTAAGTAACAGTTTACACACCTTTGTGTTCTTTTTCTGTCTCTCTCTTAACTAGAGAAATAATTATTTAATAATACTTCATATGATCAACACTTTCATTAAAATAAATATATTACGAAAATATGAACTTCTCAATACCATTATAAATTTATTTGAAACAATTTATTATTGATTTTATTAATAATTTAGATGATGCAATATATATTGTATTGGTACGTTATCCTTTAAAAGTATAATTTCTTAATTATTGATTTATTTATACGATAACTATCACTGAGAAAAATATAGCGTAATATATAAATATAATATAAATAACTCACTAAACATTTTTTTTTAAAAGAAGTAAATTTAGATTTTAAAAATGTATTTACATTAGTTTGTATTTATGAAAATTTGAAATGGGTACTGATTATATAATCAAAAACACCTAATGTCTCATTATTAAAGAATCACCACTGTGTTTGTATACATTATCATCATCGTTTTAAAAATATTAATTGTTGGCAGTCATTAGCTAGTTGAAGTAAATATTATTCTTTTGTTAATATCTGTTTCTTGCTTCTTTTCACTAAATATTATTGTTACGTGTCGGAGAATGAAATTGTTTACGTTAACCGTGAAAATGCGTGTAAAATAATAATAATAAAATAATAAAAATTGAATTGGTTCAAAACTTTACAACGCGAGTAGATGAGAAAAGAATATTTGACTTTTTTTTTTTTTTTATCGAGCAAACATCCTAATGACGATTCCGTAAGAATAGGTTCTTTCGTAGTTATTTCCTATCAGCTGACAATTTGACAGTTTTATTAAATTCCACGGCATGATTTTTCACAAAATATAATCCAAAACATCTTAAACCCGTTCGGTTGTATTACCGGTAGAAAATAGTCGTTAGAAGAATGTCCTTGTTTTTGCGGTAACAATAAATTATTATTGTTTATTATAATTTATAACTGTTACTTGAACACATCGTACGCGGCGACATTGAACAGATAAATGGTACATCGATTCGTTGGTCCGTCTGTTCTTGTTCTCAACGTCCGGGGGTTAATCTAAAGATCGATAGAAATCCTACGTACAGCGGACAAGTAGTCAAAAATTCATACCGTGTCGTTTGAAAAAATATTATGGTTTTTTTTTTTTTATACTTCGTTCATTATTGTGCTCTTTCATTTCCTCGCAAAAATTTTTACATTTCGATATGTAAACAAATGTTAAACCGTCGATGAAGTTATGCGTTCGGAACGTTTCATTTTTATATTAGAAAAAAAAAAAAAACGTGAAAAATGTAAGTGAACAATTCGCGGGAAATAATGCTTTTGAGACGATACCGGTATGTTTCCGTGGCACCAACGTGAAAGCAATCGCGGTCTTTTCGTCGACGTGGCTGGAAAATAGTTCGAAAAAACAGCGTTTCTCGAGACAACGCTGGTGTGCGTGGTGGCATGACTGGGACGCGGAGTGAGCCGGTTGCCGCGTCCCAGCGTCGTGTAACATGGTCGTCCCGGCCCCACGTCGCCCTACACCGCGGTCGCGGTCCGTCGTCCGACGCGCACGCACACACGCACACGTAAACGCACCGCAGACGACGACGCCGGCGGTGGCAACCGACACCAACACCGGACGGTTACCGTTCGAGAGTGCGCGGCGGCAGTTCGTCCGGCAACATCGTCGTTTATGGTTGTGTGACGTTTGCACCGCGCCCGTCGTACGTTCGTTCGTCGTCCTTTACCGTTTTCGTGTTTTTTTTCCCTCCCGTCACGAATGCGCCCGCGCTTTCCTCCCGTCAACTTCTCGGTTTGTGGTGTTCGATGTGCCGTGCGTTCGCGAGTGATATCCATCACCGATAATTATTGCCCACGGATCATCTGCTGCTGATTTTACACTCGCACAAATCGGATACATCGATCGACCGCGGTGTTTTATTGTCGGACGTGTAAGTACCTTTTCACATATCTATTACCTATTACGCCCTGGATCGCGGGGATTGTTGGAGTTAAAATATTCCGACCGAGAAATGTGTCGTTATTCGAATGGAAATTAAATCCACCCCGGGAATAAGTAGTGACTGGACGAAATCGTGTGCCAACGGTTGTTGAAACGAGATTGGTGTTATTACCGTTCGACAGCAATAATAACGTCGTCGTCATCGCGGTACGTACGGATTAACACGATAACGAAACGGTGTGCGTCTTCGATGACTTTTACTCCGTGTTTCCGCGGCGAGGCCGAACGAGTCGTCGGTGACGGTGTATTATCGCCTAACCTTGGTACATCGGCCGCGCGCGCGATCCCCGACTATAGATTTCCAGAAATCTCAACGTCGTCGCTCCGGTTAGACGCGGTCTCGACGATAAAGTTATTATTAACGTTTCAATAGAGGACGAAAACCGTTGCCTGTATTGTCAATAACAATAATAATATCTAATGATGTTCGTGTCGGTTTACCCGCGGTCGTCTGTTGCGAGAACACCTGCTGTCCCCGATGTCGCCGTGCCGCCGCGTATGGTAGGAAATAATCGGTACCTAAACGAGGGGGAAAAATCAACAGCATATACCTTATATTTAATTCTATAACCGTTAAATTGTTTTTCGGTGTACCAGTTCACACCAGCGCGCGCGTCCAGTAAGTAGTAGGTGTTATCCGTTAGATATTCGTGTGTGATTTGTATATTTAAACGTTTTTAATTTGCGCTGTTCAACAGCCGCGTCGAGTGGAAATGATCAAAATAAATCAGGTTTTCTCAGATTGTCATTATTTACATTATTGATAAGACAAACTTCGTCGTTGTTGGAGAACATTACAATTCACAAACAATATAATCATATTTATTGGTGCGTCATACTGAAAAATAAAACGTAATTTATTTATAGCTTGAATTGCAGTTACGCATTCGTTGTATGGTGTCTGCAATGTATTTAATGTTGTTGCTATTTTTAATTTAGAAAACGTTTAACAGCATACGACAATACCACTATTGCATTAATTAATAACAAATTAAATTGCAATTATTACCTAATTTTGTTAATAATAAGACTTAACAAATATATTTTCTAAACGACTCGTTCACTGAACCTATTTTTAAAATGTATGGATGAACAAAATATAAATAATTTTTACTATCATAGGATATGAAAATGATATTGTTTTTGGATTATTCTTATTTTTTAATATGGCGTATTAAGTGGATACTTTTAACAGTATATTCTGTTTATTATACTTACATATTTATTTTTTTGTATTATTCTAATTAATTAGTTTTGCAATATTTGGTTAAATAATATTTTTAAATGTTTTAATATTTACACTAATTAATTAGTTTTCGTGTAATTTTCATTCTATGATTTATGAGTAAACAAATGGTATTTTTGGACGATACCATAGATACATCAAATTAAATTAGGATGTAACTTTCGTAAAAAAATTTTTTAATATAATAATGACAAAAAAGATTATATATAATATTTAAATATTTATATGTGCCACCGTGTTATGTCTTACGTACTTACATAATTCTGAACTGAAAGGCTTAAATGGAGAAAAAAGAATACAAATAATATTAACATTTATAGAAGCTTTAAAATAGATTAGTATCTATAATATAAAATTAAAAAAATAATGTATTCATATATTATGTATGTACCTATATAATTTTATTTATCATAAGTTTGTATTTAATAATTCAAAATTTAACAAATAAAAAGATCTGTCGTCTATAAACAATCATTTTTCTTTTATAGGTATCTTTTTTAAATTAATTATCAAACCTTATAATTTAATATTTTATAGGTATTTAATTTTTTAAAAATACCAACTATGAAATATCGGTTCATGATGAATTAAAATGAAGTGTGTAGAAATCTAGTTGCAAGTAAAAGATAATTAGGTACCAAAAGAAATTTTATACAATAGGTTGGTATTATAATAATATATAACTATTTCTAATATAAAAATATTCGTGTAATTCGTTGGAAAAATCTCCGTGTACACGTACAAATGATATACATTTAAAATTAGAAGTACATATATTTAGTTTATTAGCATGTATAGGTGTATATTATAGGTGTATAGTATATATTATATGTGTAGGCTGTTCGAAAACCAATTCAAAAGAATAGCTGACTTGAACCGTTTTGTATATGTTTTTACACTGTTATAGAATTGTTTTTTGCGTTTATTTTAACCAAAATATAATTAGTCATCCGTAAATATTATGTCTTGTGTTACGTGTTTTTAAAAACAAGTAATATTACTGTTATTTTTCATTTTCGAATATGTATATTTATATTTATGTAATCATATAATATACCTATTAGTCCGTGTGTGAAAAAATATTTTGTAAGGTCTGGTAAAAGACAATAAAAACGATTCACGAGTTACTATAATATTAAGAGAGTAGTATAATAACTTACTGTGGCAATATAATAATAATAATAAAAAACACGGTTCAGTTTTTGAATGCAATCAAACAATATTTGTTGAAGTATAGGAAAATACTATCGAGGAGTTGGTGAATCTCTTAATATATTATAAGTATGTATAATATACATTATATAATCAATTATTTTCTCTGCCAAATTAAGGTATTAAAAAATAAATACTTTCATTAAATATGACATATTTTTTTTTGTATTAAAACCTTTAATTGTTATTACATTTTCAATCTAATTTATTATAAATATTAAAACTTTTAAAGGGCTCCACACACGATCAGTTTAACTGTGCAGTTTATCTGTGTAAATTACTGAATATAAATTGTACAGTTATCTGAATTAGAGGTGTATAGGCTACTCAAAGTTTTTTCTCAATTATATCTACAATTCTCTCAGTTTTTTAGTTCAGTATAGTACGGAAATCGTTCGGTTATCACAGTATATAACATATACCAAAAATAGAAGCAGCTTTTTTTTATGTTAAAATGTGACACTCACTACTAGAAAGACAAGACAAGACAAGACTGTGTGAACTGTGTGATTCCCTGAGCTAACTGCACAGTTTATTGGTACAAAGTAGAACTTATTACACAGGTCAAAAACTTGAGTACAAACCTACCAGAACTGCACAGTTACTTCAGTTAATCGCTCAGACATGACGTCACACGTGATAAACTGCACAGTTAAACTGATCGTGTGTGAAGGCCCTTAAGTGTTGTAAAAAACATAGAACTTAGAAAATTAATTTTAAAATATAATATTTATTCTCAATACATATTAATATATACCATATTTATTTACATATTTACATATAACGTATTTTTATAAACTCATTATTTTCTATTGATAAATTGTATTATATGATAGTATTTAAATTTATTGTCCAAAATTAAGTTATTAAATGTTCTATAAAATGGGTACTAAGAAATAATATTATAATTTATTGAATAGTTATTTATTATTTTAAATTTTTTATTTTTTAACTGTATTTTTATTTATTAATTAAGCTAAACAATATTTTAGTATAACATCATGTTACTTTGCTACGTATAATAGTATATTAACTACAAACTACCTTGTTAGAAATAATGAATTTTATGATGGTTTAAACTTTGATTAATAATTTCGCCAAGATTTTACAAAAGATTGGTAAACAACAAAAACAGATTCTTTTAAGTTTTGAATTTTAGAATACAGATACTTTTTAAAGGCGTTGTTAAATTTATCATGCATTACAAATTAATAGGAATAAATAAGGAACTAAATATAAACTAAAAATTTATGAAATTACTTTTGATGAATATACGGAAAGTTTATTTACATTTATTTTAGTACATAGTTATATTTTTAGATTCTGAATAAAACGAAAGTATAATTTGATTTGTATATATAAATAGAATAATGGTATTTTTATATTTATTTTTTATGCGTGTCTAAATATTTTTCGAATAAGGTATAATAAAATAATTCTAAAAAAATAAATATTTTTTAAATTAAATTAAAATATATAAAAAAAAACCGATAAAAAATAAATCTAAACATTATTTATTTATTAGGGTATATTTACTATTGTCAGATGAAATTTAAGTATCTAATTTTATTTTTATATTATTTCTTAGTAAAGTTTATGTTATATATTGTCATATATTATGCTGATTATAATTAATTCCAATTCTAAGTAATACTAGATTGAAACAAAATACGAGGAAAAAAATCCAGATAAATATTAGGAAGTTGGACATAAATTATCTTCGGTTAAGTGAATCAATTTATTAACAATTTATTAAGTTGATTGTGACTATTTAACAATTGATTTAATTAAATTTTATCGACATCTTATATCAATCAAGTGTTTTTGTGTTTTGCCCTTTTTTTTATGGTATAAATTCGGGTATTAGTGTATACATTGATTTATTACCTACTAAATTTATCAGATTCCTATTATGTATCTACGCGTATACCTATTTCATTAAATTTTTATAAAAATTGTATTCCAACTTAAATTTTTAATATGGATGAAACAAGATATAATAATATGAAAGCCATTGTATCTATCTAGGTCTTACAATATGCATTATGTAATGATAGAGGTGTAATCCTTTCTGTAAAAACTAAACTAGTAATGTAAGAGTATAAAGTTGAAATTACTAGTTATTCCCTTAAATATAAAGGTTGGGTAGATCATATTTATTCACAAAATTTGGAAGTTCATCATTAAGTAAAAATATGATATTACTTATATTTATTTATAACTTGTACTAAAATATGTTATTAAACTAGTAAATATGCATTTGTTTTAAGTATATGTCAATACCAATAAGCATAAGTGGGATTATTCATATAAAAAAATAATACAAAATAAGCTTTAGGTAATAATAACTCCACTAATAAATTATTTTTCGTATGTATTTACTTTACTCTTAAACGGATATTCAATTCACATCTGACTTCAAAATACTTTGATGATTCTCCAAGAAAGCATATTTTACAAAACGTGTTTGA